CACTTTCCCCACCGAGTGCTGGGAGTAGAGTCTTTTGCCTACTCTAGGTTTCTATTTATATAAAAACTAGCTAGAGGTTTTATATAAATAGAAAAACAATGTTTCTCTCTCTCTCTCTTCCTCTCTCTAACCCAAAAGGACCATTTCCTGAGACACCTCCTCTGAACTGTTTGTTGTTCACAACACCATTTCTGACACCAAATGTGTGGGTGTTTTCCCCCACATCAGCCAACCTCCAATTCTCCAGACACCAGCGTGGTGCCCTCAGATTCAAGTCAATCCTGACAGTCACTGCCTGGAGTTAGACAGGCATCCTGCACTAAATTCTCAGGTGCACATGCTGCCTCCACATCAGACACCAACCATAAGTCTGGGCCACCCATGCGTCTAAAAGACTGGCTATAAAGTGGGGGTTCCCACAGTCCCCTCCTCAGGTTTGATAATTTGCTAGAACAGCTAACAGGACTCAAAAAAGCAGTTTACTTCCTATTACTGTTTTGTTTGTTTTTTTAAATAAAAGATTCGACTCAGGAACAGCCTGGGGTGCACAGGAGGAAGGATGGGGAGGGTGCAGAGCTCCCATGCCCTCTCCTGTCACAGGACCCTCCCAGCAGCACCTGTAAGTTTTCTGAACCCCCTCTTTCAGGGTTTTTGATGAAGTGTTATTACATAGTCATAATTGATTAAATCATTGGCTATTGGTTATTGATCTAATCTTCAGCTCATCTCTTACCTGGAGGTAAGGGGTAGGGGGCGGGGGAGGGATCAAAATTCACATCCTTCTAAATCACGTAACTGGGTACTCTGGCAACCAGGCCTCATCCTGAAGCTATCTTGGGCCCCTGTCTCCTCATTAGCATAAGCATAGGTAAGATTGAAAAGAGCTCGTTATGGATAGCAACAGTTCCTCTCACCTGTCACTCAGGAAATCACAGCTGCGTCTGGCCGGTGCTCCTTGGTCGGAGTGCTGTTACTATACTGAAGGGTGGGGATCCCATTCCCAGTTGGGGCTCATACACAGGTTTCGGGTTGGATCCCTGGTTGAGTCTCATACAGGAGGCAACTAATCAATGTTTTCTCTCTCTCTCTTCCTCTCTCTAAAATCAATGGAAAACATATCATTAGATGGGAATTTTTTTTTAAAAGAACAAATTCCAAGGTTGGCTTTTAGGAGCAGGGGGGAGGGGCAGTGTGGTAAGGGAGGGAGGGAAGCTCTGTGCCCTCCCCTACCCTTTGCCTGATACCTCAGGCTGTTTCTGAGTTGAATCCTTTATATAAAAACAAACCAGTAATAGGAAGTAAACTGCTTTTGTGTCTGTATCAGGAGACAAAGACAAAACATATATATATACGGTACGGCAAAAGAGGCTTACAGTTGTACCTACTTTTGCTACATCCTTTATGTGTTATACACATATATATACATATACACATACACTGAGTGGCCAGATTATTATGACCACCCATCAGTACTTCGTTGGGCCACCTTTTGCCTTCAGTACTGCGGCGATTCTTCTTGGCATTGACTCCACGAGATGTTGAAAGGTGATGCGAGGAATCTGACACCGTGCCTGATGAATAGCACTGTCCAGTTCTGTGAGATTTGATGGTTGTGGAACCAGCTGCCTGATGGCTCTTTTAACTTCGTCCCACAAATGCTCAATTGGATTGAGATCTGGTGATTGTGGGGGCCACCTAAGCAAGGTAAAGTCTCCCTCATGTTCTTGAAACCGCTCCTGCACAATACGAGCACCGTGACATGGCGCATTGTCTTGTTGGAAGAAGCCATCTCCATTGGGGTACGCCATCAACATGATAGGATGAACTTGATCAGCAACAATAGTTAGGGATGTTGTGCTATTCAGACATTGTTCCACACAAATTAAAGGGCCCAAATCATGCCAGGAAAACATGCTCCAAACCATAACACTGCCCCCACCAGCTTGAAGGGTTGTACTCATGCATGCGGGGTGCATGCTTTCATGCTGTTTCTGCCAAATTCTCACTCTTCCATCTGCATGATGCAACTAGAAACGTGATTCATCGGACCACATGATTTTTTTCCAGTGCTTGACTGTCCAATCTTTGTGTTCCTGTGTGAATTGGAGACATTTTATCTTGGTAACTGCAGACAGCAAAGGTGTTCAAACAGGCCTTCAGCTTCCATATCCCATAAGATGCAGTGTATGGCTAATTTGCCTACAAACATCAGGTGGTCATAATAATCTGGCCACTAAGTGTATATATCTTACTAGAGGCCCAGTGCATGAAATTCATGCATGGGGGGTGGGGGATGGTCTCAGCCCAGCCTGAACCCTCTCCAATCCTGGGGATTGGCCCTAAACTGGCAGTCAGACATCCCTCTCACAATCCTGGACCGCTGGCTCCTAATCGCTCACCTGTCTGCCTGCCTGGTCACCCCTAACTGCCCCCCCTGCTGGCCTGATCACCCCTCACTGCCTCTGCGTGCCAGCCTGATCACCCCCAACTGCTCCCCCCTGCCGGCCTGGTCACCCCAGCCTGCTGCTCAGTCGCTTGGTTGTCCCTCACTAACCCCCCTGCCGGCCTGGTCATAGGCAGCCATCTTGTGAGGGCATGATGGTCAATTTGCATATTACCTCTTTATTATATAGGATTACATCACCATATCACACCCCACACCAAGTGAAGAGGGTCAATAATCTGGGTTCCATTCATGCTGTGGACTTGTTTGAGATTTAGCCTTGGCTATTTCACCCTCCACTGTGTGAAAATATATGCACATTACTGTGAGTCAAAATAAGTCCAAAGAAAATGTTTACAACTATGACATCCAGAGTCTGGTAATCTGAAAGGTGAGAATTGGTTTGCACGTAGTCAATACGCATTGTGTCTATAAATGTGGTCTGTGTGTTGGATGCACTACTTTCACTTCCTAAACGTCTGTGGCATCTTCCGGGCAGGAACCTTGGCATCCAGGGACGAGCTGACCTGAATGGCTTTCCCAGGCCCTTGGAGCAGACTGGGTGGCTGCTTCTAACCTGGAGAGCTATGCAAAGGAGTTTGTGTGTGGCAACAACATGCAAATCTTTGAGTCTCAATTGAATTCCCTGAGTTTTCTCTGAGTTTGAGAGTCAAATAAATTCCCAGGCCCCACCTGGGTGCGTTCAGACCCGCCTTGCCAGGTCTGTGGAAGTGTCTGGCTCCTCCGTGTGGCTTAGCTCACTGGAATGAGAGCACAGCACCCAGGGCTTCCAGACCCGTGTGTGGGTTGCTCTGAGGTCAGGCAAAAAGTGGAATTGGACTAAACAAACTCACAGAGTTGGGATACAACCACTAAGTGTCTTTTGGATTTGTCACAATTTCTTTTTCTTAAAACGTGGCTTCATTTTGCTTAAATAAAGCAGACCAACATTATACCAGTTTGAAATATAGGGTTGATACGGAAACAGATCATTGACCCATTTCCTGGAGGTTTAGCCTCTGCCCCATCTGATTGTTGTCTTTGCTGTGGAATAAGAAGCAAAGGCTGCAGGGTGAGCTCTGAGCCCAGGGCTCTGGGCCTGGCCTTCCCTCTCAGAGCTCCTGCGGCACTTCTCCCTGCCTCAGAGCGGCCTCTCCACAGAGGTTCAATGCCAGTTCTGGACTCACCAGTGGCATGACCGCAACCAGCAGATCGCTGCAACTTCACAGAAATGTGAACTAAGTAGAGAAATGGAGAAGCCTTGGGAGTAGGCATCACATAGGCTAGGGATTTTTTGGGGGGTGGGAGTCAGTGAGAAAGTGTAGCCAGTGGGGTCCAATCAGGAAAGAGAAACCACAAGTAGGCTAAACAGCATATGTGAACACTAATGAACAAAGTAAACTAATAAGCAAAATAGAAACAGACTCATAGAGACAGACAGCAGCTGACACCTGTTAGAAGGGAGCGGGGTGGGGAGCTGGTGAAAAAGGTGAAAGGATTAAGGAAAAAAACATCTCAGAGACACAGGCAGCAGCATGGTGGTGAGCAGAGGGGAAAGGTGAGGGGAGGTAGAAGAGGGAAAAGGGGGATAAATGGTGACGGAAGGAGACTTGACTGTGGACGTGGGCACACAGCACAGTATACAACGTACTGTAGAACTGTACACCTGAAGCCTATATAATTTTATTAACCAATGTCACCCCAATAAATTCAATGAATATTTTTTAAAAATACATTAACCACATTAAAGGAAAACCTATAAGCTATAAGGGACTCCCTGTGGTAGCCTTGGGCTGAGAGATGGTCTGCAAAGAAGGACAGGGGAGTTAGAAGGGTCTCTCTGGACCAGACGTGGATGGGGCACTGGGCCCTGAGAAGCTGCGGGTTAGCCGGGCTGGAGCTGGTGTGGGGTTGCTTGCTGGGCAGATGATAGACCACCCTCCGGGGCGGCCAGGAGCGTCCGCGGAGCACGGACCTGCAGGGGATCCTGTTCTCGGGAGGGGAAGGAGCACACAGGCCTGCTGGGCTTTCCCCAGGGATCACCGGGAGAACGATGTGAAGTTGCAGAGGGACCACTTTCAGGGCCTGTGGCTCTGGCAGGATCCACGCGAATTCCTCCTTCCCGCACGCTGACCCCTCCCAGGCCATGACGATGTTGGGGAAGCCCCTTCCTCCTCCATGTCCCTCCGCTGAGAGACCGCCACATGGTGCTCACGTTAAAGAAGAAATGCTTATAGGAGTTTCACTGTTGGTTGTAGAGCCCATATTGAAGGGCGCATTTGGAGCTGAGAGGAGATAAACTGGTAATGACAGGGAGCCGAGCAAGAAATAGGGGCTCAGTACTTGAAAGCTGTGAATATGACACTTATTCAGAAAAACTGAATGCATGTAAATTAGCTGGAATACATTTAAAGTTAAGCAGCTGTGTTAATCTTAATTGTCATGTCATTTTTGTTGTGAATTATTTAACTAGACACAAAGTTAAGAATCTGTGTGTGAAACAGTGCTCATCTCTAATTCATGTTTCTTTTCTCTCCTTGATTCTCTGTTTGCCCAGGTCTTATACAATATACTAATCGCCTTCACAAAGATGCACAAGTTCGAAAGCATAGAGCCTGTCGACATTTTGGCTGGATGTGCCCGATTCATTATTGTGGGGGTTGGGGGAGTCTTTTTCGGCATTGTTTTTGGATTCGTTTCTGCGTTTATCACACGTTTCACTCAGAATATCTCTGCAATTGAACCGCTCATCGTCTTCATGTTCAGCTATTTGTCTTACTTATCTGCTGAGACCCTCTACCTCTCTGGCATCCTGGCGTGAGTACAAACTAAGGACCAACTCGCATGACAATAAAAGAGCATTTAGGCCCACGTCCTATGGACCAGCCTCCGGTGAAGGCTGGGCTACTGATGCTAATTCTCAGAGGTGTGGCAGGATTCGGGTTTATCAGACACATGTAAGACCTGACGCAGGTCCTTGCCAAACACTCTCCAGCATTTGTGTTTGCTCTCCTCTCGTGACCGCCTGAGTGAGCACAGCAAGTATAAGGTCACTTAAACGATCAGAAAAGCTGCTGCCGACAAAGTCTGGGAGACAGGACATTTTTTTCTTTGAAAAATTCACTCTTCAAGTTAAGGGGAAGCACGCCATGCGGACTGCCTTCTGCGTTTCCTTCAAACCACATCGCAGCTCCAGGGCCTTTAGGGTAGAGTGAAACCAGGTAGATGGGACAAGACTAGAAATCCAGGTCCCTTTTTTCTTAGTGAAAAACATTTTGTAAATATTTATTCTTGTGTAGGTCTTGGAATGAGGCTTCTCAACTTGGCCCTTATACCTGGTCATGTTGTTTTCTCTCTGACATTATTCTCATGTGAAGCTGCTTGGGCAGAAATAGTTAATTTTATTGTACAGAGATAACTACTTTAATTAAATATAATAGTGTAAAAGCTAGGAACTTCTATTTTCCACCTTAAAAATGATCAGAACTACTAAGACAAGGCAAAGTTCTCTCCACCCACACCCTTCCTAAGTGATCTAGACCAGGAACATTTTAAATGAACGATTTCTCATTAAATTATTGTAAGAAATGCTGCTCAGGGGGAGGCACTGGGGACCGTGTTGAATGACTCTTCCCAGGGAACCGCCGTGGGTTTACTTGGGTTGGAAAGCAGAGTGAAGTAGAGAGTGAGGGGTTGGCAGAGCTCTTGGGAGGGCGGGCAAGATGGAAAGAGCTGGGCTCCCGGTGTGGCGTGAACTGCCTGCCATTGTGTTGAGGGAAGGCCCTGGAGCCCTCCTCCCCACCACATTCAAGTCCTGCAAACCCCCAGGGGGCAAAGAGGCAGAAAGAGAATCTGTGGGCAGGCTGCAGCCAGAGAGAGGAGGCGATGTTTTCTCGGGGTAAATACGGGATTTGTGTGTCTGTGGCATCAGCAATAAGGTGGGTTTGCGGGGAGGGCAAGCCTTCTGCTTCTCTCTGAGACTCAGTTCCTCCTGCAGCATCACGGCCTGTGCGGTGACCATGAAAAAGTATGTGGAAGAGAACGTGTCCCAGACGTCCTACACAACCATCAAGTACTTCATGAAGATGCTGAGCAGTGTCAGCGAGACCCTGATCTTCATCTTCATGGGCGTGTCCACCGTGGGGAAGAACCACGAGTGGAACTGGGCCTTCGTGGGCTTCACACTGGCCTTCTGCCTGGTCTGGAGAGCCATCAGTAAGGGCAGCCCCGCCTGTGGCTTTTCAGTGTCCCCCGCCCTGCAGTGCCCTGCATAGCATAGTGTGAGGTGATGCCAACCGGTTCTACTGGTTCGGGGAGCATGGGCACCTTGTGGCCCGAATGCTCTGTTTACTCCTTCACTCAGTTCAAAGTCCTCAGTGGCGATAAGGCTCTGCCTGGAGCAAGGAGCAGTATTCTTTTAATTGAAGGGAGAATTTCACATCCACACATTAAATACAGCAGTGCCTTTCCCCTGCTCCGCACTGCTGCTGCTGTGCCCCCTTGCACCTGAGTCAGATATAGATGCTGAGGGAATTCACACTTTTGTCACAGGAAAAGTGAGATGTCACACATTGTGACCTATGTGAGGCAAGTACTGCTAAAAAAATGTTTTCCTAAATAACATAGATGCTTTCCGTTGAGGGGTGAGTGTGATGTACAGGAATCAAGGACCAGGAATCTTCACTGATAAGCAGTGCTTGGTATTAAGTAATAAAGACAATTCTGTACATGATGCAACTGCATCACCTCTATAAAACATGCCTGACTGGAAGTGAGACGTTTTGACGAATGGCTGCTGATTGATTTTGCTTTATGTTTCTGGAGCTAGAAAAACATTAAGCACTGAACTACAATGTGTGTGTTGACTTTTGACTAGAAGCAATTATATTTTAAAGTGATTTGACTAATATTTAAAGCATTTTAAAATGATTTTGATCAATATTGTCAAGCCAATTACTCAAAGAAAAGTTAGGAGAAATGGCTGAGAACTTATTAAGCATTAAATTAATTTAGGATAGGTTTTAGGATCTTGAAAAGAATAAGAATGAAGAATATTAAAATATTCATAAAACTTACTCTGAATGTATGTGTCTTAGGAGGAAAAACTTTAAGGAAACTGATAGAAATTTATAATCCACATCAAATCTTGGCACTATTACTAACCTGCTATTCGACTTTGGACAGATATTTAACTACTCAAAATATTCCTCCTCAACCACAAACTGTGGGTGTGGACAAGTTTCCAAGTGCCCTGCAGTGTTAATGCTGTAGGAATGCAGCGTCAGCAAAGCTAACAGGAGAGAAGTTACGTGATAGAGCTCCAGCCCAGCCAGCAGTAGAAACCATCTAGGGTGTTGGCACTGGGGCTCCTTCAACACCTCTGACCTTGGCGACCACCCAGCCGACTCCCCAACCTCTGACCTTGGCGACCACGCAGCTGACTCCCCAACCTCTGACCTTGGCAACCACCCAGCTGACTCCCCGACCTCTGACCTTGGCAACAACCCAGCCGACTCCCCGACCTCTGACCTTGGCGACCACCCAGCTGACTCCCAGACCTCTGACCTTGGTGACCACCCAGCCAACTCCATGACCTCTGACCTTGGCAACCACCCAGCCGACTCCCCGACCTCTGACTTGGCCACATCCCAGTGAGGGCAGAGCCAGGGTCAGATCCCATTCTTCCCCCTACCCCCTAGCCTGGCTCATGGCAGCTTATACTAGTTCACACGCATGGAGGTACATTACTTACAGCTATGAAATTAACTCAACCTACATCCCCCTTCTGCTGGAAATACAATCAGTACCTTCCTTAAGCAGATGCGACATCGAGGACATGACACAGTTAAGAGCCTTGCCCGAGGTCTCATGATTCTTAAGTATATGGGGAGCCAGGACAAACAACAGGAAGGGAAGCGAAGTGAATGTAACTGCCTTGAGCTATCAATACGCCTGTAATCAAGGTTGGGTGCCATGAAGTCTGGTGATTAGAAGTCACATGACGATGCTGAGAGCTGGAGTGTTAGTGAAGGGGCCGCTCCCACCAGGAGCCACTGCACTGATGGCAGTAGGTCACGTGGGCCACCTGTTGGAGATGGAAATCAATGTGGTAGAAAGTACCTCTGTTTTAAATAAGCTCTCCCGCCCTTCACCCTCCGCTTATAGCAAGAAGCCCTCCTCTTGAATTCTTGCCAACATCCTCTTTTGTTTGCATAGAATCTCAAGAAGAACCAAACCAACCACAAAAGATTTGCTTCCCCTGAAGAGACCATAGTCACAGAGAAGGAGGCTCCTCTTACACTGAAAATTACACACCTTCTTTGGTTACTCAGTGAGAACATGAGATGATAGAAATGTTTTACTCCCCAGACAATACTCTGGCTTTATCTTGTTTTGAAAGGCAGAGCAAAACTATGAGTATAGATTAGAAAGTCTATGTCATGTCTCATAACAAAAAGTGTCAAAATGTTATGACTTTACCTACACACACTCACAGAGGGCTCTCGGGAGCGCTGCTGTTTGGGACGGGCGTCACGGGGAGAAGCAATGAGGATGCCAGCTTTGAAGGCACCGCACACGCCGTGGCTCTCTAGCATTGTACCTCCAGTTACTCACGACCCTCTGCTCTACACATATCTCCCCTCTCCAGGCGTGTTTGCTCTCTTCTATGTCAGTAACCGGTTCCGGACCTTCCCCTTCTCCATCAAGGACCAGTGCATCATTTTCTACAGCGGCGTTCGAGGAGCTGGCAGCTTTTCGCTGGCGTTTCTGCTGCCTCTGTCTCTTTTCCCTAGGAAGAAAATGTTTGTCACGGCTACTTTAGTAGTTATATATTTTACTGTGTTTATTCAGGTTGGTAGATTTTATTCTTATTTGAAATAAGTAGATTCTTTCAGGATTATGCATTAAATTGCTATACCAAAAAGGTACACTTTATTTGATTCTCAGACATGATTTTCTATCTCTATATCTTCTGTTTATTATTTTTAGAAATTAGATAATATATCCAAACTAACTTCCCAAATATTTCTAGATCATGTTTGTGGTATCCTTCAACCTCTAAAATATGTTGGTTTTTAACCAGTAAAACATTCATCAAAATATTCCTTGGTAACAGGTGAATTATCTGTTCAGTGTGTTGCTAAAAATGAGATTCCAATTATTACTCAATAGCACAGATTTTTATTTTAGCTCGCGCTACTTTTTAGCAAACTATGAAGAGGTTATTTTAAGGGAGGAAACTAAACTCCTGCTTTAAAAATATTGACATAATGCCTATTTTTTTACATAATTTAAACGAATTAAATAATAACTAAAGAGAGAAGCATTTAGCCAATAGAAGCTAGTAAAAAACAAAGACATAAAAATTGGAAGTTCTAGTAGCTTCATTAATAGACTTGTTCTCTATTATGACAATCTTCACTACAACAAACTCCTTTATTTTGTTACTTATGCTCTAGGGAATCACAATTGGCCCTCTGGTCAGATATCTGGATGTTAAAAAAACCAATAAGAAAGAATCCATCAATGAAGAGCTTCACATCCGTGTAAGTTAATTCTGTCATAATTAGTAAGTTAGCAAAATGCGTTCCGCTTGCCGCCCCTGGGAGTGACCTAGGGCTTTGATGAAACATGTGTGCACATCCCTGGACAGAGCCTCTTTCCTCCCCAGCTCCACCAAGAGTGGCTGTACCAACTCCTTATTGCTGCTGTGAGAAATAACTACAAACTCAGTGGTTTAAAAAACACAAAGTTTCTATTTCTGGAAGTCAGAAATTCAAAATGGCTCTCGATGGGCTAAAATCAAGATGTGGTAGGGCTGCATTACTTTCTGGAGGTTTTAGAGAAGAATCTATTTCCTTGCCTTGTCCAGCTTCTAGAAGCTGCTGGCATTCGTTGGCTCCCTGGACCCCGTCCTCTTCGTAGCTAGTGGTGGCCGGGCAGGTCTTTCTCATGCTGTGTCACTCCAATACTGACTCTTCTGCCTTCCTCTTCCATACTGAAGACTTTTATGATTATATTGGGCCATGTGGGTAATTTAGGATATTCCATCTTAAAGTCAGCTTACTGGCAACCCTAAGTCCATCTGCTCTTAATTCATCTTTGCATATGTGTTAATATGTTCACAGGCTCCGGGCATTGGGACACTGACATCTTTGGAGAACATTATTCTGCCTACCACAAAGGTTCATGTCTGTTCCACATGCAAAATACATTAGCTCTATCCCAACATCCTAAACGTCTCAATACATTATTTTAACTCAAAGACCAAAAATCTCACCTAAATCTTATCAGTTCAAAAGTCCCGAAGATGATCATCTCAGTCATCTAAATGAGGCAAGGATGGGGCCCTGGGTATAACCCTTCCTGAGGCCAAGCTCCTCTCCAGTTCTGAACCTGTGACACTCAAGAAATAAGTTATCTGCTTCCAAAACACACTGGTAGGAAAGTCATCGGCAGCAGCTATAGATACTCACTTTCAAAAGGGAGGAGAGATGGAAGGACAAAAGGAGTCATCCAGCCCAAGCATATTTCTCAGTTCACCTGGGAAAACTATTTGGTTTCAAAGCCTGAGAACAATCTTCTGTGACTCTTTGTTCCACCTTCTTGGTTTTAAACTCCACCCTCTGAGTCATACTCCTTTTTACATCCAAGGTGGCCTGTTTGGAGCTCATTGATTTGATCAGCCTGTTTCTTGCCTGTAGAGTTTCGGGGATCTCAAAGCCTTCTTTATTTTGTCTTCCCTCTCTCTCTTCTGGTCCAAGCTGGCAGTGTTTCTGAGGAGAAAAGCAGAACCACTAGGAGATATATATTAAGACCTTTGTTACAAGGAATTGGCTTGTCTATTGTGGGGACTGGCTAGGCATGTCCAAAATCTATAAATAGGTCATTAAGTTCTAAAGCTGGGAAACTGCTTGTCACTCCAATACTAACTCTTCTGCCTTCCTCTTCCATAGTAAAGACTTCCATGATTATACTGGGCATGCGCTATAGCTTCTGTGCTCAAGTGGCAACCTCAGCTCTGCTCTTCAGGCCTTTCAACTGATCAAATCAGGCCCATGCACATTCTCTAGAGTCCTCTCTTTTACTTAGAGTAGCTGGTTCTGGACTTTAATCATATCTACAAAGTGCCTTCATTGCAATATCTAGACGGGTGTTAATAATGACTGGGACTTGCCTAGATAACCTGACACTTCAGAAAACTATCGCTGTGGCTAATGTGGAGAGTTGTCCTACTTGGCTCTGAAGTCCTTGTTCCAGTGGAACCTGGTCCCCTGCCCTTCCTGACGTTTGGTTAGAAAGGGGTGAAGGCTGCTACTACCTCAGCAGATGGCTCCGTGGTGGAGTTCAGTGAAAGTATCCACATCTGACAGAGAGGAGAGTGAAGTTGAACATGGCTTCTACCTCTTTATTTTATTGCAGTTCTATGCAATCGTGAAGGGATGTCATTCTATGTGGCTCCAGGGAATAAAAATGAGAATGACTATATGGAAGATATAGGGAAAGAGACTTCGGCTCAGTTAATAAAGAACACTCTGACTTGTTTCTTACGTGGCACACCCAAAGCTTAAATGATTGGGAACATGTGGCATAGATATTGTACAGGAGGTCGGAGCTCTGAGGGGATGATTGACTCAGGTAATTTTTAGGTTTCTCTCATCCTTGTGAATTCACGATGCTAAAGCTGGAGAAACTGCTGAAATCATTCCAAATCAGCCCTGAATTTCACGGCCAAAGTCACCTGAGGAAATAAAGCAATTAAATTTCAGAAAACCCAAATCAAAATTTTCAAAGTCATTTAAAAATATTCAATAGATGAGGATAAGGAGTATTTTAAAATAAGTAATGCTTTAACCTAATTAACAATTTTTGTTTCTATCTTTATCCCCTCTGCTCATTATTTTGAGAAATTGGAGATTATGTAGTTAAGACAATAGAAATTGGATATTTCTTTCTTATTTATTTTTCTCAAAAATGTTATAATTATTAATAGAATATCCATCATTAAATATTTCAGAATTAATTTAATATTTTAATCTATTTTGCAAAAAATTTTAGAAGCTAGTATAAACCTTAATGATCACAAATTTAAATTATATCAAGACTAATTTATAAATTTTTGAGATTATCCTTTTTTCCCTAAATTTCTATGAAAAATTTTTATAAATCAAATGTAGTATAACTGGCTTGGATGATGAAATGTAAATGCTGAGACAAAATGTCAGATAAAAGAATAGGGACATAGGTAAATTTTATTATTATATGTTATTATAAAATATTTGCAGTATTATATTTTAGAAACTGTATAAATTGGATAATATCATTGTCTTTTCTTTTGCAATGAAATTAAAAGTAATTATTTATTAGGCTTTATATCCATGTGATTTCAATAATGAGATATTTCCTAGATCATCCTAGAAAAATATGATGCAAAGGAAATGGCAAGTAACCTGTTTTCATTGCAAGTTATATGCATTATTAATGAACTTTTTTCTGCAGTCTTCCAATCATGAAATGGAGTTAAATCACTATGAAAAGAATGACACGTTTCAGTGGCATGAACAGAGTGGGAGAAGAGGCTGAGCTCCAAGAAATTAAGGCCTCCTTTGTGCCCGGGGTGCACCAGCGTGCCCTGTGTCTCTTTTAGCGTTAACCTTTCACCACCAATCATTTTCTCGCATTTGGTTTGGCAGCTGATGGATCACTTGAAGGCGGGAATTGAAGATGTGTGTGGGCAATGGAGCCACTACCAAGTGCGAGACAAGTAAGGAGACAGGGTTTCACTCTCTAGAAAGGATGTTGATGGCATGGGAACCTCCAAGGGTTACACTGAAGCTGAGCACAAAGCTAGAAGGAATCTAGAGGAGGGACCAGAAGACAAAGGGCCTGGGAGCGCGGCCGTAAAAGAAGCAGGGGAAATAGAAGGACTCTCAGACGTGCCGGTCGGGAGTGGAGGGAGATAACAATGTCAGGGAGCCATGTTTAGGATTAAATAATAGGATCTGTGTAAGATGTCTCAAATGCATTTCGGCACCCATTTTGGAATTTAGTCTCAGGTTTAATAGGAAAATTGGGGCTAGAGGTAAAGGTTGTGAGTCGTCAGAGTGTTTGGTAACCAAAGCCATGGGCGTGGGCGAGGTCACCGCAGAGGACGAAGCGGGGAAGCCATCTCCATGTGGCAGGAAGGAAAGAGAAGGGCGGGGGACCCCGTGGAAGGGAAGCTGGTGTCCAGGAGGCGGCGGAGGGCGTGGAGGAAAGGCCCCGTGCAGGTCGGTCTGATGAGCCTGCGAGGGGTTCACTATGACAGCCGGCCGCCAGGAGCGACAGAGCAGGTTCTCCTCCTGCGAGGTGTGTGGGTTCTCCCCTCCCCGCCCCTCCCCTTCAGTCGGCAGGATTGAAAGTGACCTTCAGCATAATGGGCAAAACCACTGCAGCCACAGGCCATGGAAACTGACCAGGTCTGGGTGGGAGAGGCCGGAATTACTGTCAGTACAGCTGCCACTGTTAAGCTATTAGAGTGAAACACTGGTTCAAAAGCCTCAACCCCTCATTCCTTCTCTTACAATTGGAGCTGAGCTAGGCTGGCCTCCCTGCTCCCGCTTACGCACCCTTTTTGTCCCGGCTTGTCCCTTGCTTTTGTTTTGTTGATTCTTCCTTTATTTTTAAAAAAATGCATTGATTATAATTTTTTTAAATGTGTTCAGCGGCTATGACTTCCAAGCACTGTCCTGGTGTTTCTCAGACTGAGTTAAGTAGTAGTTTGTTTTAAGAAAAATACATCGTTACACAACATGCACAGCAAGTACACATTTCCAAAGGTTGGCTTTGTTTTCAGGTTTAAGAAGTTTGATCACAAATATTTACGGAAAATCCTAATCAGAAAGAACCTGCCGAGGTCCAGCATCGTTTCCTTGTACAAGAAGCTGGAAATGAAGCAAGTTCTTGAGATGGCGGAGACCGGGGCCCTGAGCGCCACAGCCTTGTCCAGGCCCCACCAGTAAGTGCCAGCTGCGCCCTGGTCTAGGTTAGTTTTTCGTGTGTAAAATGTTTTGCAATTACAGTTTACTTTAAATATTATGGGTCTGAGTTTCAGGTGCACAGCATGGTGGTTAGACAACCATATACTTTACAAAGTGGCCCCCGATATTTCCAGTGCCCCCGACACCATGCGTAGATGTTATCACATTGTTGACTGCAATCCCTGTGTTGTACTTCACAGCCCTGTGACTATGCTGCTACTACCAATTTGTACTTTTTAATCCTTCACCTTTTTCACCAGCCCCCGCCCCCTCCCCTCCGGCAACACTGATGGAGACTTTCAGTGTCAGGGCTCCCAGGGGCATCCTCGTTGCTTTGCTTATGGGTAATCCTGGGCGGGGAAAGGTAGACGTATGAGGGAGGATTGTGAAAAACAGACCATCTTGCCGTTTTGTGGCTTGGTCACGATCAACCTGTTTCACCTAATTCCTAGAACTACCTTCAAGCAAAAGTTGCCTTCCTTGGAAGGGAGAAGCAAGTGAATGTTTAGAATTCTAGCATATTTTACAAGGCTTTCTCTTTCTAATTAGGTCTCTACCCTCTGACCCCTGTTCACTTGATTCTGCTAATCCTGCCATTGCATTCCTCCCACAGTCATTTTTCTTCCTCTCTTGTATGAAGTCAGCATTCTGAGGCACTAACTTGGATTTGGGGATGAGTGGGGCTAGCAAGAGGCATGATGGTTGGGAACTATTTTAAAAGAAAGCTGTGTTTACCATTGTGTCTAAGGCAAAAAAAAAAATCTGTGTGAGATTTGCCTGGAGTCTGTGTGAGACTAGCTTGGAGTAGGATTGGGAGGGGCAGGCTTCCTGTGAACCGGGCCGTAGGGAGTTGGTGGAGAGGCAGTGTGTGTGGAGGGGCAAGACCTACATAAGCCCAGCATTATAAGAAGATTCCCTTGGAAGCGTGGTGCTTCCATTGGAGCATCAGGAAACCAATTATCCTAGGAGCTGACTCAATATATTTTTTATATACTTTTATTGATATCAGAGAGGAAGGGAGAGGGGGGAAGAGATAGACACATCAGTGATGAGAGAGAATCATTGATTGGCTGCCTCCTGCATGCCCCACCCTGGGGATGGAGCCCACAACCCGGGCATGTGCCCTGACTGGGAATTGAACTACAACCTCCTGGTTCATAGGTCGACGCTCAACCACTGAGCCACGCCAGCTGGCTTCAATATTTTTTAAAGCTGTTTTAACTCTCTAACGTTTAACAAGAGCCCCTTCAATATCACAAGAATTAATTCACCACCACCCCCAGATGCCCAGTTTTCTTCTAAGAAATGCCTTCTGGTTTGAGCAAATTAATCAGAACGTCTATTTCGGGTGAGGAACCCCAGCCCCTCCACCTGATCTACTCAGTTGGTAAGGACACTTGATCATGAGCTTCACTAATGTCCTCACGTTGAGAGAAGAGCTAAGAATAGATGTTAATCAGATTGTCACCAACGTCTGAGTGTTATTTCTCACCCCTAGTGAGTGAGCAGCACCTTGCCTCGCTTCCATGGCCTTGTGTGAGCTCCCGGTCAGCAGGAAGCTGCCTGCCCATTTGTCAGCGGACTGTTTTGAGGTTGCTCAGTTTATGTCAGTGCTGCCCATTGCATGTCTTCAAGGAAACTGGGGAAGCTCACTGAGGAAGAGCTAGCAAGTGTGTGCATTGGTCGGGAGTGCTGAGCCAGGTGAGAGCCTGAAGCAGAAAGAACATTGAGTAATAGCGATCCTGTCCTTATTTAAGAGGTTGATACTTCATTCACCAGGGATTCTTTGCATTGACCTTTATTTCCTAACGAACTGCATTCAAATCCCATTAGCTTGATTGCTGACCTGCGGTGTGGAGGCAGGTGTAGGGAGGGGCACCCTCTTACCAGAGGCCAGTGTCCCCCGGGCCGGGCCTCATTTTGGGCCCAATCCTGTTCCTCAGGCACCTGTTATGTAAAAGCAGACGCAGTCCTGCCCTCATGGAGCTGGGTCATGACATTAATACAGAAGGGATATTAATAAAGTCAAAGGTCACACACTGATCATCCTAAAGCCTGGGAGCTATGCGAGTATAGAGGTACAACCACCCGGGGCGCTCTGACCTGCTCACTGGAGGGTGAGCGCTAACCCAGTGCCCAGCGGGAGGCTGGACAGGCTCCGGCAGGTTAGGCCTGGGGACTTCCTCCTGTGGTTTGCTTACCAGTTAGGTGAGCACTTGGTCTAGGAATGCTTATCTCAGTGACAATCAGTCTACCTTGAGCTAAAACTTAACCTGAATCTCCATGTTACACGGCTCTGGCAGAAACAGTGGCCCCCACTTCTGGCCTGAAGGAATTCTAAGCCAGCTTTATTGGGGGGGGCGTGGTGGGCAGGGGGGCTTCTGTTGAGGTTATGATTTTTTCCGGACAGGTTTAAAACCTTGACTCAAGATTGGTAAGAAAACCTTCTAGGTGAGAGACAAGTGCTTCCATCTATTGCCCGAACAGTGGAGAGGCTTTTTAAACTTATATTTAATTCAAGTTTAGTAGTGAAGTTACATTTATTTGATCTCATCAGAAATATGTCGGACACCAAGCAAAAAGGAATTCCGCTCCAAAGATCAAAGCAGCTAATTTCTTAATAAACAAACCTTCACACAATAATAGGAAAAAGAAATGTGTGTTCAGCTCACTTTTTATTATTCTGCATAAAATGAAAACAGCAAAATGCACATGTATTTTTTTAGAAGTTAAGCGATTATTCCACAAGAGGCTTAGATTTGCAAAGTGTGGCTTCAGGGGCACCTCCCACCGAAGCCGTCCACAGCACGCTGCACTGCTGTGGTTCCCAGGGCTTTCTCTGGTTTTACATGAACCTCAAAACAACCCTATGGAATAGGTAGAGTATTTCCTTGAATTATCATTTTAATGTGAGGCATCTCATTTTACCAGCGAGTAGTAAGCTCTTAGAAATACCAGAGGATAGAGGTTCAAATTGATTAAAACTGTGGAAGCTTTAAAAATTATTTGGTTAATATTTTAGAGCTATTGAAATATTTATAAATTTATAGGCATAGCAAACTACAACTCCACAACTTAAAAATATTATATTTTAAAATTTCCAAATAATTTTAATGTCATTTATAAAAAGTATAAAATTATTGTAGTTTAAATGTTTTTTATTTGATCACATGTTGACAGGCATAAGTTTAGCTTTATGCATTCTTATGCCAAAGACTCTGGAATGAAGACCCAATGCCATTTTCATTCTATAGTGGAGCCTTGTGGGGGAGTCAGGACTGCTCCGCCACTCTTCACTCCTTCCAAATGCTGGCCGTCTTGGGGACCTTCCTAAAGGTCACCCCAATAGTGTAATGGGAGAAACAGACATGGGCAGCCACGCTCACACGCTGTTGGGCACATTGTTCACTCAGTGAGCATGGCCTTTAGCATCTTAACATATTTCCCAGGGATTTTGTGCATAAAGCTATTAAGGGGATGGATTCTTCTAAATCAACCAGGGTATAATATTTTATTTGGGGGGAATTAATATTATGGCATGAATATAACATCTACCAGATCTTATATCTATATTACTTGGAATTGAAGCCTCTTTTTACATTATTCTAGCATTTTAAAAAGTTAGGAGAAATGTCAACCTTTTGTTTGAATACATTTAGATTCATACTTTCCCATTCAATTTTTGTTTGTTTGTTAATCCTCACCCAAGGATATTTTTTATTTTTAGAGAGAGTGGAAGGAAAGAGGAGAGAGAGAGAGACATGGATTGGTTGCCTCCCGCACATGCCCTGACCAGGGCCAGGACCAAGCCTGCAACCAAGGTACATGCCCTTGACAAGAATCAAACCCAGTACCCTCAGTCCGCAGGCCGATGCTCTATCCAACAAGCAAAACCAGTCAGGGCCCATTTGATTTTAATAGCCATGGAATTTCCATAGAACCTTTGTTTAAGGTGACAGAGAATTCTTTTATGGATAATGAGTGAAGGTTCAAATGACAAAGATCTTTCAGTTTACAGCTTTTCTTTTTTTTGACCAAGAAATTATTAACATTTCATTTTTCTAAGGATTGTATCTCTCCTGTACTTGTGATGTTAGTATTTCAGGGGTGATTCTGCTAATCGAGTGGCATGTGGAAAACTCCCGGTGTCACCGGCCCAAGTTAGCAGCTCATCTGTACAGCTTTGTGGCTGCAGCTTTGTGTGGATGAATGAGAGGAGTGAGAGAGGATGCCCTGGGGCCTGTACCACACATCCAGTGGCAGCCTGCACTCACTTTTAATTACGCTTGGCCCCTCCTAACGTGGTCAGTTATAAACCAAGGAGTGTGCCAAGTTAGATCCACTCTATCTATTTGGTTGTTTTATGATGCATACACAGAAAATGGAACTGTTTGATTAGCTGATTTTTCTGCTTAGCAATAGATTACTTCCACCATAATACAGGAATGTGTTCAGATTGTTGAAATGTGTGGGTGTATCTAAATCAGAATAAGTTTTATTTGAAGGACATTTAAACAGCTAAGTTGAAACGTCTTTATGATAATGTTCAGTTTACCAAGGGTGGTAACTGCATATCAATAGTGTTGACAGTTGTAGTGCTAAGCTATGGAGACTCTGGCTCAGCAATACTGCAGAAAGAGCATTCGTTAGTGTGCAGACAGCATTGCTCAGCACACCCTGGCATACTGTGGTGGCCAGTAGTCACATCTTTAACACTCTTACCAATTGAAAATTACTTACAGGACGTCCTTGCTATTTATGGCTATACTAGAGGCCCGGTGCACGAATGGGGTCCCTCGGCCTGGCCTGAGCCCTCTCACAATCCAGGACCCCTTGGGGGATGTCAGACTGCCAGTTTCGGCCCGGTCCCTGCAGACCAGGCTGAGGGACCCCACCGGTGCAAGAATTCGTGCACTGGGCCTCTAGTATGCATATAAGATCTTTGGATAATCTTTTCCTGCCCTCCCCCTCCCCCCTTCCCTTTGAGATTTATCAGTCTGTTTCATGTTTCCATGCCTGTGCTTGAGCGTCTGCCCCTTGGTGGTCAGTATTCGTCATAGCTGCTGGTCAAATGGTCACTTAGGTTTTTATATATATAGATAGCTACCAATGCTTGGGAAAATTGTTTAAAAGTGGCCCGTTTGGAAACTAGTAACTACTCACCTCTGTGATCAATTACCCTAAGACTTGCTTTGCAAGCAGCTGTTAGCACAATCAGAAGCGCTGCAGCCAGAGAGGGAAAAAAGAAGTCAAAACTCTGTAAGGGTTTATACCAAATGTTAAGGTAATAGTATTAAAACAGGAGGAAATAGTATTAACAGAGGGGTTTAATTCCTTTAGTGCTCTCTTTTTAGTTCTTATGTTCTGCAGTGAACATACATTACTCGTGCAATAGTAATAGAAATTACCTCCCCTAAGTTCAAATGACTGAAATCAGATACATTTCTCAATGTGATGTCATGACCTGGAAACCCTCAGAGGACAATTGTGCATTGAGGCTGACCTGAGCATGACTTGGTTTTTGAGCCCTCAGGGCGGTGGCCGGGGGGACTCAGGATGAAGGAAACTGTGGGGATCTGGTCTGTGCGGAGGCAGTGAGCAGTCAACTGTTTCAAGAATCTCACAGAGTCCCAGTGTCTCAGAACTGAGCTGGCTTTTTCATGATGAAAACGTCCCAATTCTCCTTGTAAAATATGATACTAGTTTCTTACAATGTCCTTACCTGAAGATAAAATTCCTAAAGGAACAATCCCAAGGTAGAGGTATTCATAAAGGCACGCATAACATGGTAAAGCTCTTAGCTCAGTGCTGCGGAAAGGTGGTGTGTGGAGAGCGCTGCCCACGAGCGTGGCTCACACCCACAACAAGCACAGGTCAGGTCAAGAACAGCCTTGACTGGGGAGTCTTATTGCTGTTGAATCGAATAGTAAAATATTCGGTTTGCATTTTATAGTATTTTTTAAATTTTTATTTTTCAATCATTGACTTTGTATTTTACAAACATGTTTGATCGTAGCAGATATGAAGGGAATAAAATGAGTTATATTTTCAACATAAAAGCTCAAAGGCATAGAAAGAAACTATTTTCAAAGTGAGTCAAGACATGCGATGCCCTCTCACAGCTGCTGAGAAGCTTCTGGAACTCCCACGAGTCCATGATACTTTCAGTCTCCCTCGCCAAGATGGGAAAATAAAGCCTGCCTTTCTCCAATGGTCCCAGGGCCCAGCGGACACAGGGAACCAAGAGGCTTTCCCCTGAAGACGTGGCGTCCATGAGGGACCTTCTGACGCACAACATGTACCAAGTGCGACAGAGGGTGAGTATGGCCGCCGGGCGGGCTGCTGCTGGCATCCCGGGGCCGTCTTTCCAGTCACCCCTGCCTCACCCTCCTCTCCAAGCAGCCTTTCTGCTGGACAACTGCTCCCTGCTTGGTGTGGAGAACAGAGCGCTAATTGTTATGCTTCTGCTGCAGAGTTGGAACCTGTAGTAGGAAAAGAAATGAAAATCCAGTGGCTGGTCGCAGGGGTCAGGCCCCTCCCTCCGAGGGCAAATGTGGGGCCAGCAGCCGCCACAGACAGGACAGCCCAGGCCGAGGTGGCTGCCTCCAGCTGAGCGACTGCAGCGGAGCTCAGGAAGCTGAGAGGGTTTGGCGAGAATGCTGAAAGCCTTCACAATAAAAAGGAGCTGTCTTGGGCCTATTAATTCTCAGCTTTGGGGAAAGGTGTAGCGTCCACCCCACACTTGGGAAGGCCAGTGGCTGGGCTCTTCTGAGACTTGGACTTGGTCCAATGAGAGGCACACCTGCGTCCTCTCACAGGAGTTTAAGTTTGAGGATTCGATTGAACTTCCCAAGTCTGAGTATGAGTATAAGCGAGTTGTTTATGAGGGCCTTGGTTTTGGGGACTATGTCATCAATCAGTCTTGATGGGACTGAAAAAATGATCTAGTAGAAAACAGGGAGTTGTTGACCTGACTGTGGAAGGTCACAGAACAACACCTGAGCCCGGGCCCTCTGACTGCTGCCCGCACTCCTCCCAGGTGGGCTCAGTTCACAGGGCGCGGGGCAGAGGGCTTCTAGCTTCCTGCGGGGAGGGCAGTGGTTGCGGGGCTGTGTCACGTGGTCTCTGCACCTGCTGAAGGAACACAGCGGAGCAGCCACCTAGCTCGCTCAGGGCACATGCGGCAGCTCCCACTCCTTCCAAGTGAAACTGTTTCGTCGAGTATCACATTCTGCCTTCGCCAAATAGTTAAGCACTTCCTGGTTTGAAGAATGTGGGCTATATGAGAGCCAGAGCCCAAAGCCTGCCTCATACTCAGCCTTTCCCCAGGGTGAAGAGGTTGGATTTAGGGAAGGCTCCAGAAATGGAGACAGAGCCCTGGGTCTGCAGCCGGTCCACACGGAGGCTAGCTGCTAAGCTCCCTTTGCTTCCGTGAGCAGTTACCAGGGAGCCACCACCTGCGTTTATCAGGGTGCCTGTCCAGTGTCCTCTGGGATCTCCCCCAGGCTGTGCCTGCCTTGTTGTCCCCACATAAGCAGGTGGGTGTGGAAAGTCACACGGGGAGACCACAAATAATAAACAGCAGGAGTTCCAAGCCTCCAAGGGGGCTTTTGCCTCCACTTTTGCTACTTTGAGAGAGTGGAACTTCCTTTCTTTCTAGGTCATGTGACTCCTCACCTCCTCCACGGTCCTCTTGCTCTCGTGGAGGAAATAGAGCTCTAAAGGTGCCACCAGAACAGCCATTTGACTGCTTTGTTCCTAGTGGGCAATCTACAGTTTTGAGGATTGTCACAAAAGGTGACATCTGTAGCCCTCCAGCCTGGGTGATAGGTCACCAGGCCCCACACAGGCTCACAGTCCCCTTCTTGGAAGAGGCCACCTTGAGAGTCAGGAGTCACATCTGGGCAGGGCCGGATGAGCACAGGGCTGGACTCTGAAGGATCCTAGGATGCAGTGGCTCTGAAACAGCAGGCCCTGCGGGCTCTGTTCTCCCTAGGAGCGCTCGGCTACTCCCGTTTGAAGCTATATGCTCAGCACATCTAGGACAAGGTCTTCACTGGGAGGGAGTTGAAGAACACACCCCTGGAGATTCTCAGGGGAACAACTGCAGCAGAAGTGCTGCGAACGCAGTGGGGATGGACACTGAGAAACACTCCACATTACACGGGAAAACATCAGCCTTCGCCCAGACCCGAGAATAAGTCACAGACTGATGGGCAGTCCCTGGGCTGGCCTAAATGATGAGGTCACACTCGGAATTTCAATACGCTTTATTTTCCTTTCTATTAAATTTATTGGGGTGACACTGGTTAATATGATCATATAGGTTTCAGGTGTGGGTTTCTATGTTACAAGATATGTATGTGTTCATCACCCAAAGTCAAATGTCCCACCACCATATTTATTTATTTATTTATTTATTTTTATTGTTTAAAGTATTGCATATGTCTCCTTTTTCCCCATTGAG